CCACAGTTTTTTCGCTAGGTGCTGTACTTGACTTTTTCAAATTGCCTATTAATAATTAATAAACGATAAAATTAACTTTAACTAGACTATAATTTGCTATTTATAAACCTTTTCTATTTCGCTTTTTTTTAGATGTTTTGTTTGGAGCCGTTTTTTTTTCATTTGAGGCTTTTTCCTTTTTAATTTCTTCGTTTTTAGTTTTCTCTGCACGTCCTACTGAAAGCAAAATGCATAAAGAGATGGTCAAACACATAAACACCATAATACAACACAATATAGAGCACTTACGTTTTTGTAGACTTTCTTCTTTATTTTTGGCGACTTTGTCATAAATTTGAATTTCAAGTCTTGCTATTTCTGAATCTAATTCACTCATTTGTTTTTCCACCTGAAAGGTACAATGAAGTTCATCAGTTCTAGAATTATGTGAAAATAACTAAAATTCAATGTACATATTTCACACTGTTAACAGCTAGTTGAACTGATTCATCACGGTATTTTCGAGCTATATTATAATGATGTTGTATGTCAGATTGAGTTTTCTTTTTCTTGTCAGCAGATGAGATTTTTACATTTGACATAAAATTAATTTCTAATTTGTCAATCTTGCGAATATGTTCTTGAGCTATCAAATTGATGTCTCCTATTAAAGTAAACTTCTGTTGTATTTCATTGGTAATATTGTCCATATCTAGAATATCACTCGGTTAGTATTATGTTAAAATGCAATACCGAAACTATACTTACATTCCTTATAGTTTTCCAAGTTTAGCGCAGATGCACCTGAAGCGCCTGAAGCACCTGAAGCCATTATTTTTTTATGAATCAACCGAGATTTGGACAATAATAATAATAATAATAATAATTAAACGACAACAATCTGGTGATTGCTATATTTTATAAAATTGACTTTTTCACAAGAAAATCGTTTTATGAATGTATTTTTTTGATGAAATGAATTAGGCGATTGCGATATATCTTTTAGGCCTTTGTTTACTTTTCCTGAAATCGTAGAGAAAAGAAAAATTAATTGTATCAAACCAATTTTACCAACATAGAATCTAATATTTTTTACAAAACTTTAATTATGGTGATACCAACATAATAATTGTATGTATGTATTTTATGAAAAACATTTTTATTTAAATTTTAAACATTTTTATATGCTTTTAAGAACAATTTATTGAGGAGGAAAATTTAAATACACGTTTCTCAATAATTTTTTATAGGAATTGGTATTCAAATGTTATTTTCGAAAGTCAAATCATATAAAAAAATAATGTATTTACTTTCTTTATACTACTTTATTAACACCAAAATTATTATTAAAAATAACTACTACCAATCCCCCTATTTGGAATGAAAATGTTTTTAGTATTTGTGCATTCATGGTAGTAATTATGTTATGTTACTTCCACTAAATTTATAGATTAAAGTTGTAAAATATTTTTTAAATAACTTATCATGTTTATTATTAAAGCTACTGTTTATAAATGTATAGGCAATACAATTTGCAATCGTGCGATTACATTTCTTATAAGACTATTGATATGTAATGTTATGGGCTACGATAGTATATATAATATAATATGTAATATTGCTAGAAGCATAATAACTCATTATAATTCATCATCATAATGGCAGTCGTTAAAATGTCGAGGTCATTTAAATGTATTATTGCAATTCCACAAATTGCCACTTAAGAACAGAAGACATTCTGGAGATAGTTGTTTTCAAATGTGAAAACAATTCCAAGAATTAATATGAATTAGAAGGTTGTCGACTACAACAACAAGAGACTTCTTTGTATATAAGGGAGTCTAGAGACCAACAGAGGCAGATGTACCAGAGCCACGAAGATCTGAGCAACTTCACGACACTCAGCCACTTTTTGTATCAGTTACATGTATTTCATTTATACGTAATAAACACATTATTGTTCTTAAGAGTTGTAAATTTCATTTAAATAACACCCTGAGTATGGATCTGATATTGGCACGCAACAGTAAATAGGTTTTTACATGTATGGGAATTATTTTCAAAGACGTTTTTGTCTTGATAAAGTTCTACATATATGATAAATGTATTAACAGACTAAAATATATTCACTGATCCCATCAGTCAGAAATAAGTGAACAAAAATAAATCTGTAGAGCTGTAGTGACGCTGTACTAGGGTAACTTAGTATTTTCTGTTTCCTGTTGATGCACTTTAGAGTAGTTTATATTTGATATCTAATGCTTTAAAAAAAATAATCACAATTATAATAAATTAAATGTGATCAATTAGTCAAGAGTCACATAGGTGGCAGTTTTTATCAAATGTTTCGTGTTATGTTATTACTCTCATCCATAAACTTATTATTTTAAGTGTATAGATTGTTTACATCAAATAAAATATTAATAAATAAATAAAAACCTTTTATAGGTTTTATGTGTTGGGTATTATATAAATGTATTTATACATTACAATATAAATTAATCATCGATATCGTGTTTAATGTGACAAATTGTTTTTCTTTACATACTAGTAAAACCTTCTACGTAAACAAAATCTTAAGTTGCCGAATAAAAAATGTCATGTGACGTGAACGAGTATAGCGAAGTCACGTACTTGTGTGATTCTACATATAAGAGCGACAATTTATGCAACAGTCTACACAAAAAGTTCAACACAAATGTCTGGGAAATGATAATATACCTCCTGATTCTTTGACAACCACAACTATGACGCGAACCAGGATCTAATGGGGTCTAAATGACGATGGCATCTCCACCAGAGATCGATGAATTTTAGAATTTTTGTTTCCAGCCAGAAAAATGAATAGCTATGAATATATAAATACGATGGTTATAAACTATACTCATTTACCTCCACAAAGTAAAGCATGGAAACAAAAGCAGTGGCTTGCTTCATTTATAAATTATACAAGTCGTATAAAAGTAATATGAATACATTTAATATACGAATACATAATATTAAATTTAATCATTAATTTAATTAATACAGTAGAACCTCGATTATCCGTGACTCGATTATCCGTGTTTGCGATTAACCGTGCCCATTCTTCCGAACATTTTTAAACATAATACTCGATATCGACAATCGTATTAATGACATTTTTGACGATAACTTCATATTTTAAGCCCTAATAACTTGTTGTAGGTATACAATATTATGGATGTAGGACGTATGTATAACATTATTGTATGTATACGTCTTCTTGTGTATATTTCTAATTACAATTGAATCAAAATTTTTAAAATTTCATTATTATAAAAAGTCTCGATTAACCGTGATTTTCATTTATCCGTGTGACCCTCTCCCCATCATTATCCCGGATAATCGAGGTTCTACTGTAATTATGTTTTTAGTGGCCTGGTGTGTTGCGGTGGTTGGCCTCAGTCACTAATGTATTCTGAGATCAAGCATCAACCGACGTCACTAATGTGTTCTGAGGTCAAGCATAAACCGACATCACTAGCTTTCGGATGGGTGAATACTCGAGTTTTTAGTGACGAATCGATGGCGCACACACATGTACACACGTGCTCAAACCGTACCAATCAAACTTTACAGATAAACCTTACACAAATTTATACTAATTTATACTCATAGTTTTCTCACTGTAAACTACCATTAGTTTTCTGAATCGCAATCTTGTAGTCATTTTTAATTGAATGATAGTATCATTTACCATTGAATGGACATTAATAAAATTAATGTTTGCTGGAACATCTGTAATACATAACATTTATTAGTATTGAATGGGGTTTAAAAACTAACTAAAATACAGGCTTAAAATAAAAACTTTAAAGGTTTTTAATTAAATTATACAATTGCAATTTTTACTCTTCAAAAAGTTGTTGTACCTAGATGGTTTACAATTATTAATAAAAAACACGAAAATCATTTCCATAAAATTTGGAAAATTAATAAAATAAATTTAAAAAAAATACATACTAATATTAATTTTTTTAACTTTTTATACTTATAATATGTATTTTTTATTTTGAAATTTTAACCAGAGCAACAAATATATTTATTTTACAGATGTATACCATACATTGTTATCAAAATGGATACTATATTCCACTAGTTTACTTTTTCTTGGAAAACAAAGCAAAAACTACATATATTGACATGTGGAATTATTTAAAGAATTTGTGCGTAACAATTACATCTTAAGTTTTAGAAATTCAATATCTATACCTATTTAGATTTTGAAATCGGCAGTCATGAAGCTGTACGTGAAATATTTTCCGGTGTTATGATAATTGGTTGCCGTTTTCATTTAGGTCAAGCTTGGTGGCATAAAGTAAGATACTATTAAACATTTTTAATTAAGTTTTTATTTATAATAATTTGTTTTTAGATTAATGAAGACAACATTTTAAAAAATGCTTACAAAGACGAAAATAGTGAATTTGGTAATTGGCTAAAAATATTTTTCGAACTCCCATTTCTGCATCATTCAGATGTAGAAGATGGTTTTATTCAACTAATGGCGTTATATCCAAATGAACTACATGGCCATAGATTTGCCGATTACATTTTAAAAACATATGTCGAACCAAATAGTTTATTTCCTCCAGTTTTATGGGCAAAAGAACCATCTCGACATCCTAGGTAAATTTGTATAACAATATTTAGGTTAATTATTTTTTTTAACTCAGTTAAATTAAGTTAATGTGCATAAATAAGAAAAAGTTTTATGGTGTTTATCAACGCAAAACTAAGTTTTGATGCTTATACTTACGACATACAGTATGTTTATAGTATGTATTTTATTAGGTTTTTGTTTGTATACAAAAAAAAACAAGTCATCGAATTAATAATAAGGTTTAGTTAATTAAGAGGTACCTAAAAGCTGAAAATAATTAATTTACATTATTTAATAAAGTTTTTCATACAAATATTATTTGTGTGTTTGTAATATAATAATATAAATATTGAAATATAAATTGAATTAATTTTTTAAATGAAAAATAAATTCGTACAAATAATAGTTAATAATATGCCCAGCCTTGTAAATATTGTTTGTTTTAGAAAATATATTATGCTTAATTTTCATTTTTAGGACTACTAATAGCACAGAAAGTTTCCATCGCACTTTTAATTGGCAATTTTATTCGACGCATCCACCTGTATACGCTGTGATAAAAACGTTACTATAGTCCGCGACAAGAAAAGTGGCCGATTTGTACCGCGACCCGTTGCGGCTTCCCTACCTGTTAGCCATTGGTTCTCAACCTATACCATCACCTGCCCGTCACCGGGGTTGCAGTTAAAAATGATTAATTCAAAAAAACGTGATAATTAATTTCATTACATTATGAACCACTGAGGCGAAATGGCCGCTAGGATCACGACGGTCATCGGCCACTTTTCGTGTCGCGAACTATAGAAATTCAGGAAGAAACAGCTTTAAAACTTAATGACATTCAACAGGGTACTATTCAAAAACCATCAAAAATAGAACAAGAAAAAATTTCAAAAACAATAATATCATGTAATAAATACTGCCAAAATAAGTCTTCCGAAGAACTAATAAAGTATTTATCATATCTTGGAAACATATATCGGGGAATTAAAATTTAACTCATTTTTAAATTTTTGTATTATAAGTAGGTTATATTATTATATTGACAATGGATTTTTTATTATTTGACATATTTTGCTAATTTATGAGTTATTTTATTTAATGTTTAATTATTTTATTTTATTTTGACTTGAATAAAAAGTAGGGCTAGATATCTTGTACGTAATCTTTACGGCATTTTGTATCTCCAAATCGATAGCTAATTCTGACGGCCGTTGACCTTCTAATCAAAGCTTAATATCGGACAATTGATCTCAAAATAACATATTGTAGGGGGGCCATTGACCCTAGGGAAGAGGAGTCGCGATTAGGGTCATAAAATCTATTTCTATTTCATAGCACCCGATAACTTGCGCGAACACCACTAGTTAAAAAAAAACAAACAAATGCATTACAGTTAAAAGTGGTGGAGACTCTAAATCTAGAATCTAAATTAAATTATACACCGTAAACTCGCCGATAAATTAGATAAGTTATAATTCCAGCCCTATTTATAATATAAATTTTATCAAATAGCCTATAAAGATATATGTTATCGATATACAATATACGTTATTCTACGTATATACGTATAGGTTTTCTTACTTTTCGCTATTAGTGTTAAAAATATTAAAGAATATAAAATGTTAAAGTTAAAATATTTAGCGATTTATTTTTCGCGGTTTTCACATAGACTCGCATTTTATTCCTATTTAATTCCTATTTTAATGAATTTTTTTTTTTGAGCTTAACTATATCGCAACGTTGCACATAATTTTGTTCTCAATCGTACTATTTTTTGGGGTCAACGGTTATTTAATTGTTCAATTTCAAACGTTCTCAATCGTACGCTAAAAAAGGTTGAACGTTCTCAATCGTATTATAGCCGTTTAACAATAGGAGCAATGCCGGAATAACTCTGACTTTTGCCCCATTGACTGTGGACGGTCGATCTAATGTCGGAATACTCCAATTATTAAATCACTGGCCACGCACCACAACAGTCCAACGAGATCTCATCAAGGCTGGGGGAGTCCGTTTATCTACAAAGCGTAAGTCTGTTTGAGTAGGTCTTACTACAATGCCGGTAAAAGAATAGTCGATTGTTCGTCGTTCGCATGGCCTTTTATAGGTGCGATATCGGTAGTCACAATGCTCCGGTCTCGTGTTCTATGACTTAAACAGATAGGTGCTGTGTTCTATGATGGAACTCAAAATAGTGCGATCGCCGAAAGTTGCGAATAACAATACAATAATACATATATCAGAATATAAGATAAGGTGTAATAATAACAATAATAATGATAATGATAATAATGTGATCAATATATATGGCGTAAACATACGCCGTTATCGTGGGGTGGTTTGCTGAGTCGTGGTGGCTGTTTTCTTTTCCCGGAGCTCCCGTAGCCGCTGCTGGTTCCGACGCTGCCTAGCGTTCAGCTGAACTGCTGTTAACGTCGAAGAAGGTGTTGCCGCTGGTGCTGCTGTCAGTGATGTTGTTGACCTGGGACGGGGGATCGGAGCGGTCATCAGCGGGAGGGGGGTGGTCGTGAAAGTTGCGCGGACGGTGGGATTGGGGGCGGTCTCACAGTGTGCGGCGGTTGTATGGGTTGTCTAGAGCTCCGGGACCTGTCGGTTTCCGCGAGTGTGGGCCTTGCGCTCGTCGCTCTTTGGAAGACCACCGTGCGGTCGTCCCACCCGCGGTTGTAGGCTGCCCATAATACCGGGTCCCGGCGTAGCTGCGCCGTCGACATCTGGCGCACCCGTGCCGTCGTGGTCGTGCGAGGAGGGGCTTCTGCGCTAGCCGCGCGGATTAACTGCTGGCTTTTTTCCAGCAGTTCCACTGCTTGCTGTTGGAGGGTGGTGGCTGTTGTCCGCTGTTCCATGTTATTGCTGATTCTGCTGATTCGAGTTAATGGCCATTATGTAGGTGAGGTCTGGATACCCTTAACTACAACAAGGTCACCCACTTGCAGATTGGGTTGATTGAACCGCCACTTGGGCTTGTTTTGTAACGAACATAAGTATTCAAAGGTCCACTGTTTCCAAAATCCTCGCTGAAGTTGCTGTATAAGGTTACACCTAGTCAAACGATTAAGAGGAACTTCAGTTTGTTCTGGTTCAGGCAAAGAGAGAAGTGGCTTTCCTATTAAGAAATGTCCAGGGGTTAAAGCTGAATAATCAGTGGTATCCACGGAGACAGCTTGAAGTGGTCTTGAGTTTAGAATGGCTTCAATTTGACAAAATAAAGTGTTTAGCTCTTCAGCAGCAAAGCACATGTCTCTTGTGACTTTATTTAGAATACCTTTGGTAGACTTAATATTTGATTCCCACAACCCTCCATGATGAAGCGAAGCAGGAGGAATGAATTTCCACTGAATTTTTCTTGATTGACAGAATAAGGTAACTGAGTTTTGATGATCAGGTTGCTTAACTAGTTTATACAGCTCACACAATTTATTGTTTGTACCGTTATCGCTACTGATAATGCTTGGATGTCCTCGACGAGAAATAAAACATCTTAATGTAGCAATGAAATCTTCAGTACTTAATCCATCTACCTTTTCCAAATGTACTGCCTAAGTAGTCAAACATATGAACAGTGCTAGGTAGGATTTTGTGAAAGTTTGACAGCGTAATTTGGATTTGACATTGAATGGACCCGCAAAATCAACACCAACTCTATCAAAAGCAGTTGCCGAAGTAATTCTGGATGTAGGTAAATCAGACATAAGTTGTTGACATGTTGCCTTTCGAAATCAATAACATTTAATGCAGTTATGTATCTCCTGTTTGACAGAGCTTCTATTGTGTATGATCCAGTATCTCTGTCTTAGAATTGTCATAGTAACCAACAAGCTTGAATGTAAGTTATGTAGATGCACTTGATTGATTATCAATGTAGTAAAGAAGTGATTTTTT